ATTTCAAACTCAATAAGAGAATAAATATATAGTGCTCCCTTTAACATAATAACTAATTAACTAATTTGAGTAAATTAAAAAAAACTAGTTAATAGTTATTTATAATAAATAGATATTATCTTTCATAAAATACCATTACTAATCATATATATTAGTTAGAAATACCATTTAATAAAACATTTAACATGTACAATTATTATAAAGACTACCTTAAAAAATAATAAATATGATAGACAAAATAAATTAAAATCTTATATTTAAAATCAAATTAAAATTAAATTAGTTCTTATATTAGAAAGTAGTATAATCAACCCAATTTAAGTATAGAAAAGGATGGGCTTTTCCGGTGGTAAATAGAAAGATGAAAAATATTTAAGCATAAAAAGAATTGAGGAAATAAAAAAGCAAGTGACGCGAATACATAAGCATCGAAAGGCTTTTTGATTCAGGTGAAAAAAAAAAGAAGCTTTTTGATGAAAATGGATTTTACTTTTTGAAACTCCGCACCCTCCTTCCCATTTCCTGTGTCACGTGTGCCATTGAAGTCAAAAAGTCAAGTCGTCCTTTGCTGTGCATTGCCGTGCTGCTTTAGCCTTTATCCACTGCCTCTTCTTTTTTGGCAAAATTACACTTTGGCGGCCCCACTTATCTCCGTATCATAATTTTGGGTAAGACAGCACTCTCTCAAAAAAAATTCGCTTGTTTAGATTTTTCTTTCTTTCCTCGATTTTTTCGTTTTTTGGTTTTTTTGGATGTAATACACAACCCAAGTCGATTTTAGGCCATTACTAAGGTCGTGGCCCATAATAATAATATAGTCCATAATGTTTGAATGCTTTTAATTGCTTCCTTAAAATTAGAGAACAACTTAAAAGTATGTTTGGATTTTTTTTAAAAGTATTTTATACTATATAAGATAAATATGTGAGAAAAATTTATTTAATAAAACATAAAATAATTTTTTTAATTGATTCTCAGACTTTCTAAACACCCCTTAAAGATATGTTCTTATTTGAATTTCATTTGTAATAATTTTCGTCATAACAATAGAATCTGTTCTAACAATATAAAAATTGATATAGTTAAAGACATAGCATTGCCCACTGTTGTAATGTACTCCCTCACATGTCATTTCCTTATTATAGCTTGTTTTTAACGTTTTCATACATCTTAAAAAGGTTTATTATATAATTAAATTTATTATAATATGGATAAGGTGGGAGTATAGTCTTACCGTTGGTACTTGTATGTACATTTTAATAATTTAGTTTAACTTATTATTTGCATAGAACCCCACTTATAAAGTGTATTGTCTTGTTTAAGTATTGAGTTCACATGAAATTGGACAGACAGAGAGACCTAAAGGCAAATTACAAGCTTTTAATCACTGAGGATTTTGTTGTGTGATGGGTAGGCTATTTTATTCTTAACATGTCCCCTCACAGGACATATAAGCCACCAAGTTGCTACGTACATGAGGGATCCTAGTACGTAGAATGATCAAGCTGCATGCCAATAATCGTCTCGTTTTTGACTGAACAAGTATTCTTTATATATTATGTTCATATTTTTGCTTCTGATGTTGTTGGAATATTAGACTAGTCAGAACATCCTCCTTTGTTTAATTTGTAATGTATTTTGGACTGATATGCTGTTTATTTTGTGCAATATGCTATTGAAGGTATAATGTTCGTGAAAATATTGTCAATTTTCTGGCTCCTGAGTCCACCGATCTTCCACCTATGGTCCCTAAACTTTTTGGAGATTTGTTCGGATTAAAGTCACAAAGATAACCATACGCTTGGAAAACAGATAATGACATCAGGTTCTGTGCAGAAACTTATCTTAATGCATTTGTAATCATTTAACCAACGCTATATTGTTTATTGAGGATTTTTTTTCTCTCCTTAGAAGTCAACAATTTAGTGTAGTGATGAGGATAGGTAGTTTATAGGAGGATTTGTTAGTTTTTCCCTCTAATTCCAGGAGGATTTGTATTTATCATCTCGTGGACAGCATATATTTCCATAAGCAATCTATATCCAGTTGAGGCACAGTTATCCATTGCCTGCATGCTGAATAGCAATTCTATGATGTGAGATGATCTAGTAACTTAGATAAATGTCATTTAATATGCATAAATAAACAGCTAGTGATTATTTTTTCCTTGTTTTTAACTTGAGTATATATTTGCTCCTTTAAGTTTATTTCCTTTTGAGCTGAATCCTTTAAGTTTATTTCAAATTTAATTTTATTCCCTTAAGTTTATAGAGTGTATTTTTAATGCTTTAATCTTACATATAAAAGAGAAAAAGAAAAATTAATATTTCATAGAACAAAATGTTAGTATAGGATAAAAAAATGAGACTGATCTAAATAATAACAAGTAAAGTGATCACCACCACCGCTCTTCATGTTCAACAATAAAGTCAAAATCAGAATCAATTTCTGACCTGAAATTAGTAAATTGACATTTGAACCAAAGAACAGAGGATATCGATAGGTGGTGGAATGTGGTGTCATCTCCGAGTAGTTATACAAGACATGGAAAGAATGATCATCGCGTAAAGCGGATATTGGTAGAGTGTGGAAAGAGAGCTTTACATCTAAGTGAGGCTGAATCCTTCTGCAATGATAATCATTAGAGAGTGATGAAAGTGATTTTAGGATTGAAACTTGAGGAATGCTGCAACCTGCATTCCCAATAATATCAGTCTCGTTCAATGTCAGATGCGTCGAAAATGACCATACTTTTGGGAAGTCTTGTTATTAACATTGCACTCTTTTCTTCCGTTAACTCATCCTCCTCTTCTTCTTCATGATCTTCCATTGATAATGCAGTATTCTTACTGTCCCTTTCTTCTTCTCTCACTAACTCATCTTCTTCAACTTCAAGTTCCGTTAATGGCGTCCACTCCTCATTATTAATAATCATTTCTCTTCTTAATGGCCTCACCAGACCCCTTTCTTCTCTATCTCCCCTCAACCTCATCCTAAGGGCAAAGCAAGGGCCCCAGTAGGAAGTATAATCAGGAACATGGCTAAAATGCCTCTGGAAATCATTCCCAAACTCAACTGGACTCTCTGACCATTCAAGTTTCCTCACAAATGGAAGTAAAGACGCCAAACTTTGCGTTCCCATTCTTAATTCTGCTCTCTCTACCAATGGAATTACCACATCCTTAAATCTAACCCCAGATATGATCTTGCCACATACGAACACCTTCGTTGTCACTTTATTGAATGAAAAATCATAAAGATTCAAGTAATTGTGCACAGTCACTAGCCCTGAACTTGTCCCCTTAATACTGCTACTGCCCCCAATGTTTATCTGCACTCGCCTATTATCTTCTATGCTTAATATGACATCCTTTCCCGGGGCACTTGATGAATGAATTTGAGCCAAATTTACACAACCATAAAGAAAGATAAGTTCAATCTAAGGGGCATAAGACAAATCCGGGAGCGGAGTGAGATTCTTTGAATTTGACAGATCGATTTGCTTTAGACTTGGAAAATGCTGCAAAAACTATTCATGTTAATGAAGAATTTCTCTCATGAAAACTAGAAGATGAATTGTATTCCGGCAAATAGTATAAGTATTATTTAACCATCAATTTTAAGGTGGTAAAGCAAACATTTGAATTGCGAATTACTGGGCCAATATTTGATGCCAGATCATAGAATCACCCCAATTAAAAAATTATGATATATGAAAAATCGAATGATACGTACCTGATTCCCATTCCAAAGCTGTCTAATATTACCATTACGCATTTTAAGTGTCATCAGATTCTCGGCACAAAAAGGTAATGGCACATATGGTAGTGGATATTCTCCCAACTAAGAAATCTTAGTTCTTTTGAAAGATAATCCAATCTCCATAAACATTCAACTTTGAAGGCTTTTTCCAATCTGACTTGTAAACTTTAAGGAACATTAAACCGTGCATCTTTTGAATATTACTAGCCCTCAATGTAATCATTTCTATCTTGTTTGCGTCCAAAGACATGCACTGAATTACTTCAGCCCCCTAGTAATATCATATCAAAGTAAACACAATTATCATTACCTAAACAATGACTATCAAACTGCAGAACAGCTAAGAAATAGTTAATCGAATCGTATAAGGGAGACAATAAGGCTCAAATATTTAATAACTATTAGGGCAATTATTCATTTATCATAAACATGCAGTGTATAAGTATACACACAATAACTTTTTTACTACATCAATTATCAATTAACATAAAAAAATGTCAACCTCTATGGATAATTTTATAAAGGGGGAATTGTAATTAGATCCAAAAAACAGATTTAATTATCCTAAAATTTATTGACAACTGAGGAGCATGTATGACAAGTTTCAATGTAGGAAATGACAACTGGTTTATGCTAATCATTTATTATTGAGACCTTTTGATAATTAGATTCTTTTTTTTTTTGGAATATTAAGAGAATAAAGAATGTAATAAAAATTAAAAAAATAAAGTATTACCTTGTCATTGTCAAGAAAATGATAAATATCCTCATGCCTCCCTAGTCGAATGGGCCTTTTAGAATTAGATGTTAATTGTTGCCTAGAAATTTCAAGCCACATGTCCACTAGAAGAGCATGCGTATCAATATAACCATTTTCATGCACTGAAACGAGGGATCTCTCTTTAAGTACACTTATCTCAATATACGCAAAAGAACTATATATGTGTCTTGTACAATCTAGAGAAATCAACCATGCTTCGTTCATAAAAATTGCAAGATCAAGAAATAAACTTTTTTCGTGTCATCAATTCCATCAAATCTCAATCTCAACACATTAAAAATGTCACCATGAAGAGTTTGATTTAGTTTTGCCACCACACTTTCCCATACTTCTTTTCCTCTCCCTTCAAGAAAGCAACCCAACACAATTAGGGCTAATGGATTTCCTTGATAATAATCTACTACCCACTTTGATAACTCCAAATAGCTTTTTATTGGCTCTTTTTGCTTGAAAGCTTTTAAACTAAAGAGATGAAGGGCATGGCGGGGATCCCATTTAGAACACGATATGTTGTGGATGCAGAAGTATTGTTAAGCATTTGAATGTCTCTTGATGTGATAATAAGTCTACTTCCTTCCCCAAACCATGCACTTGCTTTGATTAAACCTTCAGCTGTTATAAAATTGTCCACATCATCAAGTACGAGAAGAATTTTTTTATGGTGGAGCCTCCTTCTTACAAAAGTGGATCTTAAATTGTAAGTGTTAATGCCCTCATCTTTTAATAATTCTTTGAGGCATGTTTCCAGTAACTCATCCGATCCATTCCTTGTTAGTTTTTGTCTCACATCTTTAACAAAACAGAAAGCTCCAAATTCAGCTTTCAGCCTGTCAAATACGGCTCTAGTAAGAGTGGTCTTGTCCATACTGCCCATACCCCATATTCCTAGAATGCGAACTTCACTTAGTAACTCTTCAATTTTCTAAGTCTGATGATCAACCCCAACTAATCCTTCCACATGTAAGGATAACTTGTTATTCAGTTTGCTCAAAATATCTTTGACAATCTTTTTGATAAGTTCATATTCGGGCCTGGCACAAATATAAATTAACAGAATGATTATGTTTAATCCAAAGAAAGAAAACAATGAGTGAAAAATGAAAAGAATTAGCTACCTGATATTCTTTGAATCCCACCCAGATAGACTTGTTGATTTGATCAAAGCATTTCTCCACTCCTGCACTCTTTCTCGGTTGTGCTTTGATCTCTGCTTAAGCTTAGCAAATCCATCTCCAAAACTCCCATTTTGTTTCCAAACATTTGATGGATCTACGTTGTAGAAAATAGGGATGACAATCCTTTGGTATTTATCCCTACATTTCATAATGTGAACGAGCTCGTCCATACACCAAGTTGAAGAAGCATAATCTTTGGAGAAAATAATTAAAGATATCTCTGATTCTTCTATTGTTTTCAAGAGAATTGGTGAGACATGATCTCCTTTTTGGAGCTTGTGATCCATAAAAGTTTGAATGTTTGCTTTGCAAAGTGCTTCATAGAGATAACTTGAGAAAGTCTCACGGGTGTCCTCTAAAGCTAAGAAAGACGTCATACTTGGTTGTAGGAGGAGCAAAAATGATATGAGAAGTAGAAGAAACGGTCGAAATCGAATCAACAACATCTTTACAACTACAGATAGAAAGAATTCATGAATAATAAATATTAATTGGGCAATCAACAAGCCATATAAAGTGAACATTTTTATTTTTAACCCAAAAAAAATGTGAACATTTATAGAAGATGTTACCTATCATCAAGTGAAGAGATTAGTCTGATGGCTTTAGAAATTGCTACAGCCAGCAAAATCAATACAGCTTCTATGAGCATTAAAGCAACGGTTGCATCCATGTGAGTGATTCTAGTTTCTTGCTTCAACCTTAAACTAATGCTTCTTTTTGGGCTTTACCTTCTCCGGGGCTGGTAAGGTTTAGCTCTTGATGATTAACGTGATAAAAAGAGCAGGAAAAATATTTAGCAAGGGGGACCAAGTTGAACTCAAACGATCAACAGCATTTTGATGGATGATTGATGTGCTAAAATGAAGAACGTGTCTTCTTTATGGAACGAACAGTGCGAAAGACTTCATTACGTGGTCAACTATCTCGTCGCCAAGTTTACTTATTTATTTGACGTTTTTTATCACCAACTTTATTTTTTAAAAAAGTACATGTGTTGAAGGTGTAGTAGGCCATGTGTTAACGGTTGTTATGCTTTAATTTCTTTTCTTTTTTCTTTTTTATCAAAAGAAGTTGGGCTAAATAAATTGATGTGTGTGTGTGTATGATTTTCTTTTTTTGTTTTTTTAAAAAATATCTAGTTGAATTATAGGGACTTTCTTCTTTGCCACCTGAATTATAGCGACTTACCTGTAGATAGGAGCTGCGCTTTTGCTATTGTGGCACCATAGCCTAAAATTGTTTTACAATTTTCTATAAAAATACCCTAAAATTGTGCTTTAATTTTATCAGATTTCATATGCTGCATGCCCATACATAGTGTTGTAAATATGGTTATCAGATCTCACGCCTTTATGTTTCAATATCTGCAATTACAGTAAAAGTATAAAAAACTGGAAGAATTTTATGCATAATAACGAAATGGGCTTTTTTGATAAAATAAATAAATATGTCGTTTACTTCATTAAAAAAGAAATCTGAATAGAATAAACGAAGAGCTTAGTCAATAGATAAAGTGCAACCATATGTTTGAAGGTTTTAAACGAAGAGCTTAGTCAATAGATAAAGTGCAACCATATGTTTGAAGGTTTTAGGACTTCGTTCTTCAGAAGTTAAAGTAAGGTAGCTAAGGAGGAGATTGAATCAACAGCATTAGGAGGGGGGGGGGATCAAATGGCTTGCAGGCAAAACAGTAGAAGAATGATGGATCAATGGGATAAAGAGAAAGAAATAACCTGGATGTGGATTGTGGAGGGAAGCGAAAGAAATAGCTCTCACAAACTTGAGTCTCAAAAATGGCAACATCGATCATCAGCTCCAGAATTTGCAGAGAATTGGTTTCTCTTCAAACAAGTTGTTCAGGTTCTTCAAAGATCAACAAATGCCTCCCTCACATATTTGTAGTCAACAAGTCAAGTGAAGTCGTGCTGTGTGGATTGCCGGCGTGTTGCTTCATTGTATATAATTTATACCGCACCACCTCTTTGCTTCATTGTATCATCATTTGACCATTTTCTTGTTTAGAGGGTGAGGGCGTTTCTCCTTTTCTCTTTCCCACCTTTTTTTCCTCTGTTTTCCAAGACAACTTTTATCAAAACTAAATAAAAGAGAAAATGACAAAATAACTATTAAATTTTAAAATGATAAATAAGTGATTTTGACAGATTTTGAAATCTATTACAAGAGTAGTCAAAGTCATTCCAAGAATAGTCAGTATGACCTATTTATCTTTTCAAAATTTAATAGGTGTTTTTCTGTTATTTTTCCTAAACAACAAAATACATAGTTAAGTGGGTCTCTGCATAGTGGTATTAATTACATGACAGAATAAGAAGGCCCAATAAACTGCGTATAAAACATTCCAGAAATAAAAGAAAAACTAAAGACCAAATGGAGTAAAGATGAGTTGACAACAAAGGTTGATCTAGTTTAATACTCCTTCTGGTTCAAAATATAAACTAAATTTTGTTAGAGAGATTTGATTTTTTTTTTATAAGATAACATTTACTTTTGTCTAAGTATTAATGAGTTTTTTTCCAATTTTATCCCCATACATTCTCTTTCCTCTTTGATTCATTTGTTACATCTTTACTTATTCTTTTCATTAATAAGGGCATATCCAGAAAAAAAAAATACATGGCTTACATATTTATTGTTTCAAATTAATTTTAACTAGCTTCTTGATAAACGTAAATAGATAACGTTTAGCTTATATTTTGAACCGAAGGGAGTAAAGAGTTGGCTCATAACCCATAGAGTCATGAGTTCAAATTCCGTTATTGATGTGAGGCTCTTGTTAGTAGGCAGTCTATAAGTATCTTCATACACTCACAAAAAACTAGTTGCCTCCCCATGACTCACCATAGTTCGTGCAAATGGAAGATGACGACCCTGAAAAATGAAAAAACCACAACAGCAAAATAAAATCACCCAAGAAAAACAGCCATGCTTAAGCAAGAAACACAACAACTGAACTGAAAATAGAACAGAACCAAAAAAACAAAAAAGCAAACTAAAGAGTAACACCAAGATGTATAAGCTCTTCTATTTAGAATCAGAATGAGTTGTTAATAATTCAATATAATGAAACTTTTGGGGATTATACAACATATACATTTTGGTGTTTCTATTGTCTCACCTCTTTCTAATACTCCTTATAATACCCAACCTCTTGGTTATTCTTTTTCTTTTAATCATTATATTTTACATAAAATTATAGATGCTCAAGCTAAGTATGGTTATTATAGATCTCACGCGCCTATGTTTCAATAGATCTACAAAGTAGTTAGCTAAATGACGGCAAGACAGAGAGATTCAACACAACAAGAAGAAGCTAGCTAGCAGAAATTTTGCAGAATTCTTCTGTACGAAAAAAATAAAACCATAAAAGTTCCAGAAAATGCTGGTAATTATAAAACTGGAGATCAATGGGATCAAGCAATGCAAGTGGATTACGAAAAAAGAGAATACGGCATGAGATAGTTTTCGCTTTCATTTAGTCAGCTGGAGCTCATTAATTACAAGAGATTACTTGGTTAATTAGGAGATTCCTTTAGTTATTTGAGAAATGTTACAGTGAGGATACTTAAAAAAAATAATTTGCTTTAGATAAAAAAAATCTTATCAATATAAATAGCTTGAGAAAGGTACTTATCAATCACCTGATCACGCACAGCTAACAGAATGACATAACATGAAAACTACTCTTCACAGTCACGTCATATGATAATCTGAGTTCCTAATAATTAATACAGTACTCTATCCGATTGGACTTCCCAATAATTTATATATTTACTCTATCCAATTCTAAAATATACTTAACTTGAGTAGGACTGATCTGACCTTGTTTCAATCATGATCTAACTATCAATCCTTAAGTCAATGTCTCCATCTGCTGTAATCGAGTTCGACTTTTAATATCTTGTGATTAAGTTTCAAAAATTGCTGCTAATACTAATGCTACTTCAGCTTAAATATGAATTTTGGTCCTAAGAATATAATTAAGTAGAACTGGGCTATGATAGTTTTCATGGGTGGAGCTCAAAATATGGAATCGTGTACAAAACACAACAAAGAAATGAAAGGCCCCCACCCAAAAAAAAAGAAAAAGAGGAAGAAAAATATGCCCTGTACTCGAGAAATTGAAATGTAATAGGAAACGGTTCAATAAAAGTTAAAATAGCCAATAACTCAATTATTTATGAGGTTGCTACAATGTCGTGTCTTGACTAATTTAATGATCCAACTAATTTCGTAACATTATATGTTATCCTACTAATATGTTTTGAAAAGAAAAATAGTTATGCCAAGTTTCTAATATTTATTATGTTGAATTTTTCGATCACACATCACCATGTGTTTTATATTGGAAAATTTAATATAATGGATATAAGGAATTTAAGGTAAGTGTTTTTGGAAATGTATTTTCTCACACACACACATATATATATTGGCCTGACAATTCATATCATTACTCCAACAATTTATATAAAAAAAACAAAACAAAGTTTTGATAAAACAAAATGTTAATATACAATAATGAAAAACTAAATGAGAGACTGATTTAAATAATAATAATTAAAAAATCACCACCACTCTCCAAAGTCAACGATTAAGTCACAATAATCAGAATTGTGGTTTGACCTGAAATTATTAGATCGACAGCTGAACCAGTGATTATAAGGATATG